TACATCTTCTAGAGTATGCCATATTTCATAGATATAGTAATTGGTGAGTGATGACAACTCTGTAGTTTGGCAGTAATTCAAAAGTCAGGAGGACATGTTGGCTATGGTGACTATCGGACATATCTTTTATCGAGGAAGGTCAGGACAGGTGGGGCAATCGTTCATTATCTTGCATAAAAATAGTGTTAGAGCGGCATTAAAGATAGGGCTAGTTAACATGTTTTAACACGATTGGAAGGAATCTGATTGTGATAAAAATGTCAGAAATGCAAACTGCTGGTGGTCGACTAACGCATCTAATGGCAGTCTATCAAATCACTGTGAGTGATTGGCTAGTTTAATACTGTCGAATGCAAATTCGCGAAGTGAGTATTGCATGATGTCGCCAAACAAGGCTGCGGCCATAATGGTTCTGTGCACAGACTTGGCATATGTCTGTTAAGATCAGGCGAAACCGTTTATGGGTTCAGTTTGGTCATTGATCACGGCACTAAATTGCCCGAGATGCAGTGTAAGGTGTAGTCGAAGCGCTGATTGCTACTCTGGCTGCAAATGTTGTAGAGCTGTTTGAGCACAATTCTGTCTTGAAAATTTCTGCATTTCCATTCTCAGGATTCGCTGTTAAGAGTTCATGGACTTCTTGAGGCCATCCAGAAAATATGTTACTCTTCTTGGCTCTTAGTAAAGGTGGATAGTTAAAATGTAGCACGTTACTTCCTATGACCATCTTAAAACCATCGATTCTATATTCAGCATAGAAATTTTGAATCACGCGAGCAGCAACAATGCAGTACCTTAAACCACCCATCCAGTAGACCATTATCGTTTCTCGATTAAAGTCAGATACATATTGGTAGACATTTCTTCTTTTTACAATAAATTTTAAGCCGAAAATAATGAGTGCATGAAAATTGCTGCTAAATCATTGCTTTTAGAACATTGTTGACAATGATGATTAGAAAACACATTTAGGTAATTTCTCTTTTCTTTTTATTTACTCGACTGCCTTTCTTAGGTTAAGGCATTCTTTATAATTTTTTCCCCATTATACTCTCTTCCTTGACAAGGTGATTTATGTAATTTAGATAAATAAAATTACTGTTTTAACTATGCACAAACACACAGTCTATAATTAAGAGGTACTTCAGTTTAAGTATACGAAGTGAGTCAGAAAAAGACTGCAAAACTTCTAGAGCACATTATAGGTAGGACTCATCATAAGGATTAATGTCATGGGTTCAAATAGTACGCCGCTAGAGGCGATTTTATACTGTGAAGTTTTTCTTCATGTGTCTGTGAATACGTGTTTTAAATTTATACAAATTATCTTAATTTCTTGTTCTCTAATAATTGATGTTGAGTATGGTGTTTAAAACTGTTTGGAATTACTTCTTAATGATAATTTAAAGATTTGGTGACTAATATGACAAGCTGATTCGATCATGTAATTTTTCAAGCCAATAAGAAAGAACTGGTAACAATGAGAAACGATTTTAAACCATTATTGTTTTAGTTACATAGATATATACTTTTTGTCTTGGGTCTGGTTCATTTCATCGACAATCACTTCATCGACAGGCCATTTCATCGACACCACTTCATCGACAGGCCATTTCATCAACTAGGTCATTTCGTCGACAGGCCGTTTCCTCGACAGGGTTGTTTCGTCGACAGGCCATTTCGTCGACAGGGTCATTTCGTCGACAAGTCATTTCGTCGACAGGGTCATTTC